ATAGCTGTCCTAATTTAGGATCTTCTTTTTGATAAATTCTTAAAAATGTTAAAAGATAGATATAAAGGGGGCCCGTTCTGGCTCTCGACGTTCCTGGTTATACTTGATTTTTTGGAGGGGCCTCTACTTTCCCTAATTCTTACCTTTAATCCGTTCGATATGTAGTACACTTACATAGAGTAAGAAGCTCTGGTAACTCGATAAAAAAAAACTTGTTGGTATCACTGGTAGGGAAATTAAAGATTAATGAAAGAAAATCTCTGCATGCTACATTTTAAAACAACTCTTTATTAACGTTAAACTTTTTCTTCATCAAGTTCTGATTGAAATTGCATTTTTTATTATTCTAGTTTTATCTTATTCTAGTTCTCTTGAATCTACATTTTAAAAGTTGATCATGCATTTTAATATTAAATACCACTTGAAACTACATGCCCCAATCTACTTTTACTTGAAACTACATGCTCTACTTTAGTTTTACTTGAAACTAATTTAGTTTTACTTCTATTGTCTTATTTAGTCCAACTCGAAACTACATTTTAAAATATATTCTTACTTGAAGGCGAATCTTTAATCAAGTTCTTTAAAACTACATTAAAAATAATTCAGTCCTATTTGAAACTGCGTTTTTAATCCATTCCTATGAAATATTTTTCAAACATATAGCAAACAATAATTATATAAATTTCGTGTCGTCTACAAATGTAATGTGTAATAGTGCATTCAGTATGTTTAAAAGTGATGTGAATTTTGTTTAGAAAAAAAAACAATTTTGGAGAAAACTTACAGTTTTAAAACAATAATATTGTTTTGAAACAAGCCAATTTCCTAGAAGGTATAAAGACTAAAATGAGTCCTATAGTTTTTTATAAAAGGACTAACCAAGGAAGAAAAAAAAAGATCATTCTTTTGACTTTTAAATTAAGTTTCCAGCAGGACTGAAATAGGCAAAAATAAAGATTCAATTGGAACTAATCAACGTAAATATCTTGAAAACATGATGACAGTTTAACTGTGCTATTAAATGACTTTGTTAAATATCAATTTTTGTTACTTCATACTTAAATCTCATAATACGTATATATATATATATATTTACGATTACCAAGTCATTTTTCTAACGAAAACACAAGAACAATCCAGGTTAACACAAATGCCATAAGATAAACAATCCAGGTTAACACAAATGCCATAAGATAAGAGGGATGAAACTCAGAACAATTGTGCATTACATCCATACCTTCCACAGGGAACTGAACTTCCTGACGATAGACAAACACTTATTTCTACAAGAATCATAAATTACCTTTGAGAACCAGGGTCTTGTAGTTATGAGGCTTTTGAATTGTCAACAAATATCCAATATAAAACCCAGTGAAGACAACGGTCAGTGATTACACGTGACGCTGAACACCAGGGGACCAACATTAGTCTTATACGCAGCTAGCTAAACTGTTTTTCTACATGCAGTCAATATAGTCAATTTCATTGAGCGTGACATTTCTATCCAATAGGGGATTATACATGTTTCGTAATTTATTTAGTTCATAGTTGATCCGCGTCTTGTCAATTATCAATGTCTCGTGCTCTCAAAATGTTATTGTCGAGCATTGAGTCCATTTTTTCACTCTGACATAACAAATCTCCATTTATACACTCAAGATTCGGTAAGTAAATGTCATACCTGATCTAGGTCTCATATACGTCCGTGTCTCCTATTTCTATGTTTGAGATCTATTTGAGAATGGTTTAATCTTTAGACTTTGTATATGTATTTTCTGTGTGTGTGTGTGTTCCTTCGCTAAAATTAGACAACATTATAACAATGTTCCGAAACCTGTATATATTCGCTGCATTCATATTCGGCATCTAACGATGATTTGAATAATGGTATTGAACAAAAAAAAGAAAGTTTTTTAATAAAAGAATGTATTTGCGTTATTAAGGAGCTTCCTCATAATCTCGTGCACAGGTAGTACGTTTTCATACAGTTTTAAATACTTTTCCACTTCATTAATTCGTATTTATTTGAAATTATTTCGACAAACCTCCACAAAATTATATATGTATATACACTCATTGTTCTGTTATCTGTTGATCTTGTTACGATTTAATAGACTCAGATAGGCCTTCACGAAAACACCAAATGATTTCTATATATTTCGGTCATATACTAACCTTATGGTGACATAGAAGTGTAAATCTCCTTTTTCCAACTCCATTCAACAATGCCCCCAGTGGCTCAGCAGCAAAGCATATAACGCTAAAAACTGGGTTCGATATTTCGCGTTAGGCACATCATTTTGTAACATTTTGCTTAATAACAAAAACAAACACAGAAACTAACAAGCAAGGTGTTTATGTCGTGACCTGTTAGATTGAACAACAACAGGTCAAGTATTTACGTTATAATCTGAGAACTGTGGTAATGTCTTAAATGTAGAAACAAAATATTGAAAGTTGTGGTCATGAAGTAAGAGAAATATCATTTAAGAATTATATATTTCAAATCGCTTACCAGTTTCTACTGCATTGCATAACCCTACACAAATACTAGAAAGTGTCCATATGACTAGAATTTACCCTTATATACATAAAACGTTTATTGATACATTTAACAATAATATTTCAAGCTACGAGTGGTATACCAGTTAGAAACCATACGACTTCACCGCCCACCTGCGATACAACAGGTACATAATAAAATATCTCACCACCTACTTATGGAAGAGGAGACTAGTTGTGGATCAGACAACTTAACAATCCTTTGGTAGTATATTAAATATAGAATATTGATCGGTCATCAGATATACCAGTAACGTTCAGAGAACATGAAAAGTTTGTTCAAGCATCGTAAGGCAAGTCTTTTCTTGGGGGGGGGGGGTGTAGATAAGACTATGAGGACTGATACACATAGGATGAAAATACATAAGAAGCAAACAGATGCTCTTATATTCCTATCCAAGCAAGGTGTGGAATCAGGAGTATCGTTTCGTGGTTGTTGAAATTATGACAGACAAAAATGAGCCCTTTGGGGGCATAAGGGCAGGAAAGCGGAGACTTGAACTGCCCCCGTGCACGTAACTGAGGTAATTTTATTAATCACTGGTAGTATACCAGGTTTAGATCATTTTCATCACCTTCTGAGTTCTGAGTAAATAACAGGTATAGAACAGTTTCGTCATCTGTTTAGGGTATAGTACTTGTAATACAGGCAACATTGTCTTCTAACGAAGGGTAGAGCAGGTATAAAATAGGCCATTTTATCACATGTTTACTGCTCACCAGGTGTAAAGTTGACAATTTTACTGTTTAATGAAGTCATCGAACAATTTCACTAGCCTGTGATGAAATACTATTTATTCTGTAGGCATTTTGATGATCCACTAACAGAGGGCTAGGGTAAAATAGTCAATGTCATCAACTGGTGTGGAAATGATCTTTTGAATATAAAAAATACAAATAGTGCATTTTTGTTGGGGGGGGTAATGAAAGTTTTTATAAGTAGACGAATAACTTTGAAATATTGAATTTATTTGTTTCCCACGTTCTTGACACAGACAAGCTTTACTGTCCAGGAACTTTTGATGGATGGAGCTGTTGGAATGCTACTCCTGCAGGAGATGTCGTTTATGTACCTTGTCCTGTGTTTGTAACAGGATTTCAGCCAAGAAGTGAGTATTTTTTATTTGTAATATAAAAGGAGTAAGTCTCTTTAAAATACTAGGTTTACAATCACTACTCTGAATATTATTCAAGAACCACAGTTCTGAATTTTGGTGAAAGAACGAAGAATTATTTTAGAAAGTGTAAAATGCTAAATATCACATGCCTACTTTTGTTATCTTATTGAATTATAAGTGTTTCTATATTTCTCGTTCGGAATCGAACCCGAGACCTTCCACATGCCATGAAAATTTTTTATAAATTTATCTAAAGGCTAATCCGCTAACTATTCTTAGTAAGGCACTTTTTGTCATCTTAACCAACCACATTCTTCCCCCTCTCACCAACAAGGACCGTCCTCGAGCCTTTTGTTAGGGTTGTAGAACAGCCCCACTTTGGGCGCCATCTTTTCTATGGTAGTATACTTTTTGCTTTGGGATTGAACCCCGACATCCCCACACGCCAAATGAATGTTTTACCACCCGAGCTAAAGGTCTAACGCACTAATTATCGCCGGTTCTTTTTAACAACTCAAACTACTGCAGTAGTACATTTTTTAATATTGTTTATACTTATTAGAAAGTGTCTGACAAATAAATATATTATTAATTTATTCACGTAGCGTCACGTCAAGTTTGAGCATCATCCACGTTGCTGATAAGTTTTGTTCAACCGAACGTATAAGGTCAAACGTTTTATGACATTATGCCATCAAATTCGGTTATCTTTCTAGGTACATATATATAACCAAAAAAAATTATATTCTGCTTTGTGCGGTAATAATTACAACCAGAAATCTCTAGGAAGTGAACGTTAAGCAATAGTTCTGTACAGTAAAAAACATAAGTACTAAGAATAGTACCGTGTGCGTGGTAATATTCCTGTTAGTTCAGCTGGTTATGATAACTGTGTGCCGAAAAGATTCAAATTGAACCTTTTTTTCTTCTATTTATTTCAAGAATGGTAAGAGGCTTCTATTTATGATCGTCGCAACGGGAACTAATTCCTTGGAAAGGTATTTCTAGACAGACTAATTTTGTTACTAAGGTTTAATGTAAACATCTGACTGGAGTGTGTTTAGGACTTCTTCAGTCATCGCTCGTACAATATCATTCACTTATTTATTCTTTGTTATAGGGTTAAATAAAAACAGACCCGTACTGCTTGAATTATGGATAACGCAGAAAGTGTAGGATAGTAAACTTACATTCAAATCTTCTTTATCAACACAAGTGGTGTAGTTAGACCATGTTTTGTTGGTTTCCGGATGAAGGAACCAGTTTCCGTCTTCTTCGCACATTTTATGGGCAAACCCTACCGGATAATACACACTATCAGAAGTTACAGTAGAGTAAAAAGATCAGTTATTGTCGTAATCATATTGTATTTAACTGGTGTTTAGTTTCCCTTATTGCGTTTTGTTGACTGGGCACTAAATTAGTGTAGAATATAAGACTTGATGTAGAAAAATGCATTCTCACCTAAATATAGCACGACCTCTGTCTCTAGAATACTTGTAGTTTTATAATATAAAACTCGATATTACACCTTACGGCTGCTTCGGTTTTATCCCACGGATAAACATGGAATAAGCCACCTGATATAGGCCCTAAAGGCTAAGACCGAAACTAGTCATGTAATATACTTGTTTGGGATGTTGTTGTTTTTTTGTAATAAGATATTTTCTTCGTATATTTTGTGTGAATATTATGATAGAATACTGTTCAATTATTCGGTAAAATATAATATAGTTACGAGAGCATCTTGTGGACATATAGCACAGCTTTTTCAACCAATATAAAATACTTTCCATTGTTTAAAATCATTCTAACAATGTTCGTGATCAATAGTGGATGTCAGCTGAACATACATGCATATAACCGTATACATACATATACACATATTCAAATATACATACACGCATATCAGAGGAGGAAAAGAACATAAAATTTATGAAAAACTGCATATTTATGTACCAAAATCTTCTTGTGCAACTTTATGCCATTCATCAAGATGACAGCCCGTGCTGTGAGATACAGAGCAATTGTGCTGCTCAGCTCTATATGATTTCTCTTGTGACGGAAACAGCCTAAAGGAGCCGAGTCTTCTTACTCGTTTTAACAAGAATTTTGAGAACTGTCGTGAGCCAATCAGAATCGAGGTTCAAAAACAACCAATGAAAATCGTTTTAAGAAACGGTTGCAAGAGGAATACGCAAGGTCTTGCTGATCAAGGGCTGCTATAAACTTAATGATAATGTGATTATAATTTTTTTTTCATTGTTTTTAAGGAATCAACGAAAAGCTACATAATGGGCTATCTGCACCCTATTCGCCGCAAGGGATCGAACACCGGATTTTAGCGTTGTAAAATTAAAATTGGAAAGTTGTGCGGTGACTTAGTTAAAAACTGCAACGACTTATCTTGCTTTGGAAGTTATTTTGAGGTTTTACATTTGGAACAATAGCCAGGCCTTGTCTGGCATGACGGTGATGGATGGTTATCAACGTGTTTACAGCTATGAAAGATTGTGTTTTTAGGGTTAAGGTCAAAATATCATCGGCCGCCTCTTCAAAATTAATTGCGAGCCGCCACTGGCATGCATATTGTAGTCAAACATAACCTCTTATCAAGCTTCGTCACGCATATTGTAGTCAAACATAACCTCTTATCCAGCTTCTTCACGCATATTGTAGTCAAATATAACCTCTTATCCAGCTTCTTCACGCATATTGTAGTCAAATATAACCTCTTATCAAGCTTCTTCACGCATATTGTAGTCAAATATAACCTCTTATCAAGCTTCTTCACGCATATTGTAGTCAAACATAACCTCGTATCAAACTTCTTCACGCATATTGTAGTAAAAAATAACCTCTTATCAAGCTTCTTCACCAAGGCCACGCCTCCTGGTGGCTCGGCGGCAAGTCTTTGAGGACTTATAACGTTAAAAATCGAGTTTCGATACACGTGGTAGGCAGAGTACAAATAGCCATTGTGCGGCTTTGTGCTAAACAGCTAAAAAAAAAGCCTAATAATGGTTTTAAAGCAAATTATGAATATCATAAGAACGTTCGGCATGGCCAGGTGGTTAGGGCGTTCGACTCGCAATCTGTGGGTCGCGGGTTCGAATCCCCGTCACACCAAACATGCTCGCCTTTTCAGCCGTGTGGGCGTTATAATGTGACGGTCAATCCCACTATTAGTTCGTAATAGAGTAGCCCAAGAGTTGGCGGTGGGTGGTGGTGACTAGCTGCCTTCCCTCTAGTCTTACACTGCTAAATTAAGGATGGCTAGCGCAGTTAGCCCTCGTGTAGCTTTCAAAAACAAACAATAAGAACGTTTTCTGTTATATATATATATATATATACACCTAGGAAAAAGTTAAG